CAGCGGGGGACCAGCACCTGGGTGCCGGTTCCCAGCCGAGGATCCCCCAGTCCCCCCGCCCCCAGCCACCGAGCTCACACTAAGCGGATGGGGGACGCGTGAACTGCCTTCTGCTGGCGCGGACGGGAAGGGGGCCCGGCTTTCGGCCCCGGGCTCTCCTGGCGCTGGGCCCGCCTCTGCTGCGCCATGAGCTCCAGCTTCTTCAGCCGCTCTTGCGAGCGAGAGATGAACTGCGGCCTCCGGGCCTCCAGTGCTTCCTGAGGGAGCCGGGAAAAGAGATTATTTTTTAAATGTATTTTTATTAGAGGCCCAGTGCACAACATTCATGCACTGGGGGGTGGGGGAGTTCCCTCAGCCCGGCCTGCACCCTCTCTCAGTCCGGGACTCCTCAGGGGATGTCCGACTACTGGCTTAGGCCCGCTCCCCACGGCTTCTGGGAGCTCCTGCGTTGAGTGTCTGCCCCCCAGTGGTCAGTGCACGTCATAGCGACCAGTCATTCTGCCATTTGGTTGATTTGCATATTAGCCTTTTATTATATAGGATTGATTTCAGAGAGGAGGGGAGAGGGAGAGAGAGAGAAACACCAATGATGAGAGAATCATGGATTGGCTACTTCTTGCACGCCTCACACTGGGGATCGAGCCCCTCAACCAGGAATTGAGCCGTGACCTCCTGGTTCATAGGTTGCTGCTCAACTAATGAGCCAGGCATTTCTAAGAGAAGGGACACGGGGAGGGGCACACCCATCTGACTGGCCAAGGAGCTGAGCAAGAGAACAATTCAGGGACCAAAAGTGTCAGTGAGTAATCTGGTCCCCATTGCTTCCCACCGGCTCATGGAAAGGCGGCCCAGCCCCATGATGGCACAGGCCCTCCCAGGCCCCGTGGCCCCTGCACACGGCGGACTAGAACCGACATCAGGGTTGTGAGAGCAAAGGCAACCGTCTACCATCCTTTCTTCCACCGGCCACCCTGTCCATTCGTTCATTTCCCACAGGCCCAAATCAGATGCCCTAAATTCCATCTTCCAGGGACCTGAGGGGGAGGGATGGGAGCGTCCTGAGCCCCTTACTCCTGGGGGGAGGTGGGGAGTGGGGGGTGGGGGACTGGGAGCCTGAGGAAGCTGAGACCCAGGTCGTCCGCCAGCGTCACACACGTGCCTTTTCAGGAGAAACGGCGATTGTGCCCAACAGACGTCACGGTCTCCGTGACTCACACTGTGACACAGGGGCCCAGAGAGGTTAGGGCACCTGCCCAGAGGCACACAGCCTCAACGAAAGGCGAGACAGGTCTCCAGCCTCAGCGGCCAAAGTGAGGTCACGTGACCCCGAGAGCAGTCTCCTGCGGAGGGCCTCACCTGCAAGGTCAAGGAGGGGCTGGCTGGTGGTTGCTGGCACTCGGAGCAGCCCTCCCGCAGGTCGGGGGTCTCCGGCTCCTTGGCGAGCGCAGGCTCGGGCGGCGCGGGCTCGGGCCCGGGGATGGCAGCGGCCTCCCGCGTCTGGCACTCCTTCAGCTGCAGCACCAGGTCGCAGCAGGTGACGTCTCCTGGGGGGAGGGGAGAGTCCAGTTAGCAGCGAGTTTCTCCTGGCCCCTCGCCGCCGAGAGACGCGGAACGCAGAAGACCATTTTTAAAACGGAAACGCCAGCGGGTTATTAACGGGCCTCGTTAAGCGGACATCACGGCTCATCACAGACCCCCGGCCGCCCTGGTCACGGGGAGGAGTGCCCGTGGGCGGCCAGCCCTCACGACCCGCTAACGATGCCGCGGCGTGTCCCCTGGGCTGCTGACAGTCAAATGCCCCTCCCCCCCCCCACGCTGAGATGAACCTTTCTGTTCTGTGCTGCAGGTAAGTGTGTCCAAAGTCATCACCGCTTGTTGTCTGGGGACAGAGGACAGCTTTATCTTGCGTTTGCTATGATCATGATGTAAGATGGGGGGGCTGACTGCTTCCTCCTGGATGTGCCTGTGGGATCATCCCTGATCCACGTGGCCCTGCCTCTCCCAGCTCACCTCCCAGCTGCCCCTTCTCCCCCCGTGGGGGGAGGGGAAGCAGGACCAGCCGTTTCCACGGGAGCAGGCTCTGCCTCCCGCATGGAGAAGGCTGTCCCTCTGAGGCCCTACTGTGCGCAAGGCCAGCATCCCCGAGGCTGAGAAGGCCGCTCCCAGGGCACAGCAGCTCTCAGGCTCAGCTGGGGCGGGTGTGCGATGCTGCTCTGAAGGCTGCAGGTCGGGCACAGTGACTCTGGGCCAGGTACCCGGTTCAAATCCCTCCTCCACCGCCCTCAGCCCCATCTGGAAAGTCAAGTCACTACTATAATGAGGTAATATTGTCCCATATTGTTTATTTATTTTCATTATTAGGATAGCATCTATTTTTATAAATTGACCTCTGTATGTAATAATCAAGCTATGTATATACTTTATATAATCAGATTTTATAGGAGAACATATCTGCATTATTAAGATACATGTTGAAATCAAGCTAATGACATAATAAAACATGAGCAGCGTCGCTGTCATTCTGGCTGGGACCGCTATTGCCTGGCAGTTGTTGGAACGATACACCGAGTTTCCCCTTCTTGACCAGCATGAATGGGAAATGGGCAGGTGAGCCTGCCGGGGGCTCGCTGGATGCGACCACGGGGACGCTGGAGTCGCACCTGCTGGGGGAAGCGCATCTTTGGCCTCCGCTCGGCGGCCACTGGCCTCCAGCCAGACCCTGGCTGGTTTCACGCGGAGATGCGCGAAGGAAATGAGCCACATGAAAGAGCCCATTGAAGAGCTTAATAAATGCGACCAAAGATGGGGCCTACGGCGTGAGACACAGAGTCAGGGGTGTAAAGCGCTGTTGGGAGCTCTGATCGCAGAACCCCCTCCTCAATGCCTCTCAGGACTCTGGCCGGGGAGTCCCCGCTGTGGGGCCGGGCAGGGAGCAGACAGGCCTGACCCAGGACACCTCCACTTCCTGCCTCTCAGGTTGGCCCTGGTCCTCCCTCCGCCCCCAGCCAGACCCTCATTTCCTGAGCAAGGTCTGGAAGCCCCATTTTGTGGAGATAGAAATACCTCCCAGGGTCCCAGGTCAGAGAAGGAAGTGAATTGCAAGCCGTGGGACCACGTGGAAAAGGCGCGGGCTCTGCCCCTCAGCCCTGCGGGGCCCTGGAGGCCCGCTCGCCTGGCACACGTCCCTTTTCTGGTTTTCTCTGCACTTCTTACAAACCGCTATCATGCCAACCCCCACCCCGCTGGACACCGAGGCCCCGTGCACAGCCTCTGCTAAGAACGCCGCTCCCTTTGAAGAACGATTTTTGAAAATTAGACTAGAGACACTCCCTGGGCCTCTGAGGAGCAGCACAGGTGCATGGAAATAGCAACGAAGGAGAAATCTCAGGGCCAAGCGAGGCGGCATCCCGGCCGGCCGGCCAGACCGCAGGCAGCTGCAGAGAGCGAGAGCCCGGCGCTGGCTGGTCTCTGCCTTCCTCGCCCCGGACCTCGAGGCTTACACGGCTCACGTCCTCCCCGTCCCGTCGCGTCCCCTTCCCAGGTGACCATCACGTCCCGATGAAGGAAACAGGTGGTGTCGCCGCAGACAGACGCTCCGCCCCATCGCTCCGTTACGAGCGGACTTCCTGAGCTATTCCTCCCTGGTCGCTGAGAGCAAGTCATAGAAAGCAAACAGGCTTGGTGTATGAGCTGGCCCGAGAGAGCCCTCAGCTCCAGGAACACGGAAATGTGTGTAACTGTCTCAAATGCTACGTAAGCACCTGAGTCTAGTAACAGCGTTTCCCCTTCGCCCGCAGCGGGGAGGATGTCTCTGTGGACATACACTTCTCACTGTCTTATTGAAAACCATCATTTTGGCCCGACTGGTGGCTCAGCGGTTGAGCACCGACCTATGAACCAGGAGGTCACCGTTCGATTCCCAGTTAAGGGCACATGCCTGGGTTTCAGGCTCGATCCCCAGTGTGGGGCCTGCAGGAGTCAGCCGATCAATGTCTCTCTCTCTCTCTCTCTCTCTCTCCCCCTCTCTCTCTCCCTTCGTCCCTCCCTCCCTCCCTCTCCCTTCCTCTCTGAAATCAATAAAAATATATATATTAAAAACAAAAAAGAAAATCATTTTGGAGCCATGGGAAGAAGTCACTGAAAATGACAATGTGTCCTCTATCCGCCGGGGGACCGGAGAGAGGCCGGCGCTTCCATTCCCGCGAGCTGTCTCGTGTCGGCTGGGGAGGAAGCGCCTTCCTTCCGGCATTTACAAATGTTCGGTCCATGCAGCTGAGGCTGTTTCACATCCCGGGCACCACGGGCAGCGAGTTTCGCAGATGACTTGGGGAGGGGGCGTGCACTGTACTTTCCTATGCCCACCCCACCCCGCCCCCTTTTGGGGATAGACTACCCAGCTTATCCATGGTTTCAGAACAGCAGGAAAAAGGGTGCTTGATTCGTTCTCATCCTGCGTTTAGACCTCTCAGTGCCCCCACACATGTCCCTAACGCTTCTCTCAGGAAGGCCAGACGCCCGGTGTCACACCCTCGGGTTCTACCCGGTTCCTGCCGCCTTTGTTCCTCATCTTGATCCCTTTCCAAGGGATCTTTTGGGCCACACTGGAAACACAGTGCCCTTTAAAGAGCACGATTCCAGGCACAGACTGTCTGTAGGGTGCATCGGCGCTGGCTGATGGAAGACAAATGCTTATTAGAATGGCCATTGTTCACATCTTGCATGTGAGCCTGAGGGGAAGCGGGGTGTTGGCACTGTTTTGCCCGTGTCTGTAAGTCTAAAATAGTTCAAGCTCAGATGGGTTTTTAAAGGGTCACTGGTGACGGGTGAGAAGAAACTTGACAGAGGGGTCGTTTTTCATGGAGTTGAAAGTCGCTTCCCAGAAACTGAATGTGACTCACTCTCTCTGCATCTGTCAATCTACCAGACGCGGCACAAACGTGTTGGCAAACTCCTGTGCTGCCTTTGTTAACACACCCGATGCTGCTCGGCACGGTTCACGGTTCCAGCCATCGGCTGCTGGGCAGAGACGGGCCATCAGCTACTCGGACTCGCACCCGGGTCAGCTCCGTTCCCCAAGCACCTGTGCGGGCCGCGGGAGCGGTCAGGGCACGGGCTCTCCCAGGACGGCCACATGTGCAGCATGACATCATTTCAGAAAGGTGGCAGGTATTTCAAATACAAATGAAGGAGAGGATTTGGAACTGCCCCCCTCCCCCCAGACCTGGTGTCTCCTCCCCCCTGGCTCCACCTCCCATTAACCATGTGACCGTGCACAGGTCACCCAACCCAATCTGGCCTCAACTTACTCATCTGGACAATGGATAATAACCATCCTGTCCTGGGAGGGGGAAATGGGCGCTGCGAACTGAAAAGGAAGAGTGCGCTGAGTGAAGGTGAGTGTTACGGTTTAACAGCCCTAAGACAGCCCGTAGGTAAGGCACAGCCTTATAAACATGATCCCTCCTATGATATAGGTAGACCCTCATTTCAAATGCAGGAGGGATTGTACACTCGGGGAGACAGTCCGCTCCCTCCTTGACCAGGTCCCTGCCCAGGTCCCAGGCTGCTTTTCCTGCCCATTTTGTTAAACTAACTGGATGCAGGCCCGTGAGGGGCACTGTGGGTTGGAGGCTGTGCCCACCTTATGTGGGGCAAGCCCAGCCGTCCTCCTGGGCCCGCGGGAGCTCTAGGGGAGGGGGGCTCTGCTCTCCAGCCCCACGGACTCTGGTCTTGTCCCTTACCTAGTGCCCTGTCCGGGCTTCTCCGCTGGGAAGCAGGCCAGAAGGAGGCATGCGGAGGTCACTGCAGGGCCCGGAAGATCTGCGACCCTCAGGTGACCTTCACATGCAAAAAGGGACCTGAAGGGCAGCCCGGCCCAGCCCTCTGAGCCCAGGTCAGGGGGATGCTAAGATCTGCACTGGGAAGGGGGCGGGTGGGGGAGCATCGGTGGGGTTCCTGCCGAACCTCTGCTCTGCCCTGACGGTCCTCAAGGTGGGCGCACGCGTACAAACACTCAGAACCTCTCAGAAAAGCCCCGTCGCGGTGGGACCAGCTCTGGGGTCACAGGAGTGTGCCCTGGGACCAGGGAGGAGAACGCAGTGAGAATCAGCAAGGCAGGGGGTCCCCCACCAGCCGGCAGAGCCCACCCTGCCCAGATCTGGAGGCTTCGGGGAGCCCCCTCCCACCCCGTGAGGACACAGCGATGACGTGCGTGCGGGGCAGCCAGGCCTCCTGAGGCCACAGCCTGTGGTTATTTATACACTGGGTGGTGGGGGGGGGGATCTTTTCCTCCATGAAGATGCCTTTCTCCCATGAACGCTAATGAGAGCCAAGTGGCCACACGGACGGCCTTTTGTTTTTCAGATTGTCTAAAAATAAAACGCGCTGAAGAAAAACACATGTATTGTTTCTATTTGCGATGGTAAAAACACAAACCCAGAGGAGACAGAGAGTGGCTGCCCGGGAGATCCAGCTCCTTCCCGGGTCCCCGCAGGCGGGCGACCTGTCCCGGCCAGGCCTAGCGGCCGGACAGCAGCAGCTGCCG